TTACACAATGGAATATTATTCATCTGTTAAAAACAATGACATCATGAAATTTGGCAAATGGATGGAGCTAGAAAAATATCATCCTGAGTGAGTAAACCAGACCCAGAAAGACAAACATGGTATGGACTCACTCATAAATGGATATTATCTGTTAAGGAAAGGATAACCATCCTACAATCCACAAACCAAGTTAGGTTAGGTAACAAAGATAGCTCAAGGGGGGAAAACATGGATCTCCATAGGAAGGGGAAATAGAAGATATTTTGTTAGTAGTCCTAGGCCAGGTGGGGATGGGAACATGAGTAATCAGGTGAGAGCCAGTGGAGTACTGAAAGAGATATCTAGAAAAGGAGGCATTTCGGGATCAGGTTTCTGGTGCAAGTGAAACTCGAAGGAATCTACAAGGATGACCCCAGCTAAGACTCCTAGCAATAGTGGACACATAGCCCATTTCCTATGAAGACTTTGGGAAACCATCCATCCATATAACCTTCGACCTTCAGTCTGCCCTGTCTATGGGATGTGCTGGGGTAAGGGTGGCACAGATTGTGGGAGTGGCTAACCAATGGCTGGTCCAGCCTGAGATCCATGCCACAAGAGTGAGCCCCACTCCTTACACTGCCTGGAATGACAAGACCCAGAAGCTAGATGGCCCAGAGACCTAAAATAGAACCAAACAAGATTGGAGAGAAAAAGTCAATGTAATGATACCTAACAATATTCTTCTATACTCGTAGATACATGAGAACACTAATTATCAGAGAGGCTTCATTCAACAACTGATAGAAACAGATGCAGAGACCCACAGACAAACATGAGGACAAGCTCAGGGAATCCTGCTGAAGAGGGGAAGGAAGGATTGTATCTGCCAGAGGGGTCAACAAAATCACAAGAAAACCTACAGAATCAACTAACCTGGACTCACAGGAGCTTACAGAGTCTGAACCAACAACCAGGGAGCCTATATAAGACTGACATAGGCCCTCCGCATATCTGTTAGGATTGTGTAGCTCGGTCTTCATGTGGGACTCCTAACAGTGGGAGCAGGTACTGTCCCTAATGTTTTGGCTGGCTATTCCTCACAGTGGATCACCTTGCCCAGCCTTAATACAAGGGGAGGCACTTAGTCTTACTACAGCTTGACATATCATGTTTTGTTGATATCCACGGGAGGCCTACCTCTTTCTGAACATAAAAAAGGAGGAGTGGATGGTTCGGGGAGGTGAGAGGAATGAATGGGAGGTTAGGAAGGAGGGGAAATTGAGGTAGGGATGTAAAAATTTAATTAATTTAATTTTAAAAACTTCTATGTGTGGACAGGTTCATAAGAGAATATGATGGAATCCTCCATGTACTAGAATCCATAGTGAAATAATTTTGAGAAGTTTCTTTTCTGAGTGAAGGCTGAGAAAGCATTCATTCATTCAGCCTGGAGGGTTCTGGGTCTCCCATATGCATAGTTATACCAATTGCCAATAGAGTCCAGAGTCTGAATGGAGAAGCAGTAATTCAGTAACATGAGATTCGAAAGAGTTTGATTGTACTGAAGCTTTTTTTTTTTCTACTTTTATGACATGTGGGATTGTGAACCCGTTCACCTTAATGCTGGGTAATGAGGCCTATAAAACAAGTCATAAAAGTGCTTCGAAATGCTTTTGGAAAATTTAATCTTATGGAACAATCTCATTATTCAAAGTGTGTGTACTTCTCCCAGAATCCTAAAAAGTGACAGGTTCCTGAACATTTGAGAAGGATAACAACCTCCCTACCATGGTTAAGAAACTGAAAAATCCAGGAGGCAGGAGGCAGAAAAAGTTCTTAAGTCACTTCAGATCTGTAGAACTAAAACACACAGGCTTTAGTGTCCTTAAGATGAATTAAATTTTGAAGTGCTCCCCTGAAAAGATGTCTAAAAAGAGATATTGATTTGAGATGAGAATTCAGTACTAATAGTACTTTAAAAGAAAAAGATTTTTTATGAAGTTAAATTTCTTATGCTAAAAAAATACAAGGAAAAAATATTACTTTAGAAAACCAAAATGTAAATTTAAGAAATTGAAGACAATAGCATTCAAAGATGATAAGGACTCCATGCTTACTGCTTGTTAATTTGAGTTGATACAAATTGGAAGAACTAACCTGGAAATGTTCGTTAAAATTACATTTTAAATTATGCATACTTTTGAACTAACAATAGTACCTCCATAACTAGAAAACATGTATATCTGACATAAATGTCTGCAGATGTTTGTCACAACTGTTTGTCACAGTAGAGCACTAGATGCACCTAATTGTAGCATCTACAATTAGGATGATTCAGTATAATGTTAGCCAACTCCTTAAAAGTATAATTTAGACATTGGTGATAATGCTGGAGGGGTGCCCTTTCATTAGTATTTAAATGAGGATGATATACAGAATATAGACCTTGTCCTGTAAAAGCAAATAACCAAAATCTCATATGTGTGTATTTATCTGTCTGTGTAAGCATGGAGCTTTTAACCCTGATTACCTCAGGATAGCACTAAGAACTAACTTAAAGGGGACTTCAGATCTCCTTAGTCTGTAAAAGTGGACAAAAAAAAAAAAAGCTCAGCATGGAAAAAACAGAAGAATGCACTTTATCACACAACTGCAAGCAAATTCTGTATTTCTTTCCCACCCACCTCTCAGCAAACCACAGCAAGTAAGCAATCCAGCATGGAAATTCTGAAATCTCCTAGTGACTGACAAGTAAAAAAAAAATCCTTTCATGAGTTCACAAAAGTGATTCTTATATAATATTTTAACTTCCTAAAACTGTCTTTTATTATTTAGAATTTAAGATAAAATTCTTTCTTAAAAATTTAAATATTTAAAATTTTAAATGTGAGGATTATTTTATTTTGTTTGGGGAGGGTAAAATATTCATTATAATTATGAAAATAATACTAACTACTGTTCTTTCATTTGTTTGTCCAGGCCGTTTGTTAAGTTAGTTAACTTGTGACATTTTTCTTTGTTTTAAGATTTATCCAAAGTCTAAACATTACTATCTCTATCAGAATAAAGAAGGATGAAAATGAGTCTTCAAGTCATCCCACAAACACTGTGATTTCTCTGTGATCTTCAGTTTATCTTTCACATTAGCTCAAATTTACATAGCATTTTTTCATACAAAGCTCTAGTCCATTATTATAAATACAAATGGGACCATTTTAATAATTAATTTTCTAGGAAGTAAAATAAACTCATCCAAGCTGTTGGTGTTTCATTCTCATGACTGTTTCTCCTTAGACAACAAAGTGTCTACTTCAGAACAGGCTTTTATGTATGAGGATGTGACTTAGGTAAGATAAGCTTCAGTTCTCCCCAGAAATTGGTTTATGCACAAAATTAATTTATATGCATTGTATCAAAATGCCCTATCACATTTGTTTGTGTGACCACATCACCATAAGACTAAGCCTCAGTACTTTTTATTTCATTACTTCCAGGATCTAGCAGAGTACTTGACATAAAAGGAGTTAATAAGTGTTCATTGAGTAAATGAAAGTATAAGTGATTGGGCATGTATATGGCCCTTTTGAGTAAAAGAATATAAAGTTGTTAGCCTCTTAAGAGTTTAGCTGGTCTCTTGTATAACATAAGCCTGAGATTTATGTGAGAATCTGATCAAGTGGTGAAAGTGAAAATAATTTATGTTCATAACTGTAGAGTGTTATGACCACAACATCTGTAGGGAGAAGACAAATAAAATGCTCCCAGTCTTGAAATGATGGTTTTGAATGATTTCATAAAGTCTTACAATTCCACTCCTGGAGAGATTCACAGTCTCAGAAACACAAATGTGGACATTTCATATTTGATTACACAGGTGAAAATGTGCAGCTTGGTGAGTTTGTTCTGAAAATTTATACCACATTTCTTTGCTTTTATGTTATTGTAACCAGACACTTGGGAAACATTTTCTGCAGACAATAAGGTCTCGAAAGATTGACAATTAGACAACCTAGAAATAATAATACAAACGATAACCCAAACACAGCATTTGTTATATTAAAATATCAAATGAAACATGTAACTGGGCAGTTTTCTCCATCTCTAGTGGTTTCCAGTTTCTGAAAATTCCACACCCAGATATGGGAGTGGTGCAGGTAATAAGGTCAGTGAATGGGGCTATTTCTGAATCACTGGTTTACCTGTTGACCCCTTGTTACATTTCCTTCATTTTGTACTTTGTAAGATTCATTATGGAGTAGCTAATGTTATTGCTAAAATCACTTCCTTCCCAACATCTTAAATTTTTATGCGTTGATTCTATTGCATTCCAATAATTCTACGTCCAGCTTTAAAAAGCAACAAAGGCAGCATAATCCTGCATTCTCCATTCTGTAAGGACAGCTCACATCTTAAACAACCACATGACTGACAGTCTTCGTTAGCACAAGATGAAACATCGTTGAGGTTATCCAATCCATTGTGTACATTAATCAAATTAAACTAATACCTGGCAGTCTGATGTTGTTCAAACAAATACTGGATTGCCTGGATAAATAATAAGCAGACAATCACCACCAACGTGGTTTATCCTCCATCAGCTTTCCTTTCCATATGAAAATCAAATCATTTCCAAGTAAGTGACGCTAACAGTCTCCCTGGACCAGGGGGCTGTGAGGGTAAATGCGTCTAAGTAAGGTAATCCCACCACCTGCTGCTTCCTAGACTCCAAAACTCCAGCTCCAGCTATTTCCAGGGAAGAGAGAAATCTGGAGGGGAGGGGAAGAAGGTTGGCGAGAGCAAGAGGCGGGAGCTAGGAAAGAGAGGCAGGAGGAGGCGTGGCCCGGCCTGGGGCCGGCGGGATAAATACTGAGAACTGGGTGCGGGGTGCAGAGAACTCCGGAGGACGCCCGAACGGAGCAGCACCGCGGACAGCGCCTGCCGCGCCTTGCCCAGCTCAGCCTGAGCAGCCCTCTTGCCTTGAGGTTCGCGCTCAGCGCTCTGATACTCGCAGCTGCACCATGGCAGAATCGCACCTACAGTCATCCCTGATCACAGCCTCACAGTTTTTCGAGATCTGGCTTCATTTCGACGCTGACGGTGAATATTTTCTTTTTAACCCCTTCAAGACCGGTCCCCATTCCTTCCCTGTCCTCTCCTTTCACTGACCCTCTTAATCTCAACCATCCTTTTCTTCTCCCATCACCCTGCCTAATTCTATCTTCCCCGCTGGGCTGCTGACCCATCAGCCTGGAAGTTTACATCGCTTGTATGGCACCCCCACACTGTAAGCGTTCACCTTTCTAGGAACAGCAGTGGTAGGACAGAGATCGAAAATTGGAAAATCCTGTC